TAGGACATATTTTGTGCACTTATTCACTTTGTTTTTCTGTGTTTCTCTTTTTTTTTTACTTTTAATTTGAATACGTGATAGTTTGTTTTTTGTTTTCATTTTATTTTCTCTTTTTCACCGTTGGTGCTCGTAACCTTTTGTTGTCTGAGTGTATGCGTATCAGGAGTGAACTTATATTATCTGCAATCAACAAATCCGTCAACAAGAGCCTGAGAGAGCTACTGGACGAGCTTACTCTCGAATCACCCAAAGGAGGCAAGAATTCTCCGAAATCATCCGAGGGAAGCAATTTTGACATGGCTGAACAACAAGCTCCCCGTAATGTCCTCGAAACCTGGTCCAACCCATGATCTGGCTAATAACATCTTGCATCCGGTTGCCACAAGCCTCCCGAAATTATGAGTTGAAAATGATCCACTACAACCAGTTGCTTTCATTCCATGGGCTTCCTAATGAAGATTCACTCCACTTTCTTCGGGAGTTTTACAAAGTCCTCTAGATGTTTTCTCTGCACGGTCTGATCGAGCATCAACTGAAACTGTGGTGCTTCTTGGGGACACTGAAGGACCGGGCCAAAGCTTGGTTCATGACCCTCGCTCTGGATTCTCTAACAACTAGGGCCGAAGTGTACTCAAAATTTGTCGGGAAGTACTATTCCCATCAAAAGGCCCAAGACATCCAGTCCCAAATCGCCTCTTTCGCTTAGCTGCTCCCACCATAACCTCGCTCTGGGCCTACTAGTGAATTGCTTCTACGACTCTCTCCACCAGAACTTACAGTATTGGTGGACAATGCAGCTGGAGAGGATATTGGGGCAAAAATAGCAGAATAGTTGATTACAATTTACGAGATGATGAGTGCTAACTCATCTCAGAAAAGTGTCAGTGGGAAGAGGTCTATAGTGAATGAAGTTGGTTCGAGCAACAATGTCATGGCTCAGCAGTTAGCCGAACTCACGGAGCAGATGCGGCTACTGAATGCTCGATGTTCCTCACTGATTCAGGCTATGGCTGTAAGTGCTTTTGGAGCATGCGGTGTGCAGGGACACAATTATGAGGTGTGCCCTATGGCTATCGAGCCAAGCTATGGAGGGGAAAGTGCTGAGGTAAATGCAGTGATACCATATGCTGGAACACGCCGACAAGGCAGTCCTTCTAACGGATCGATATCGGATGCCAAACATGTGCATACATGATTTCGAATAATTCTAGGAATGCTCCTAGAGGACCTACAGAGAATTACCTAGAAATGGAGGCTTTGATTCGATCTGAGCAATCTTCTAGTCTGTGTCCCCACCACGCTTGGATGCCAGATGGACGACGATCCCCCAAACGGTAGCAAGGAGCAGATTGGTTTTCGTTCTTCTCTGAACCCCTTACGTTTCCTTCTCTCACATTGATGTGGTGGCTGAAGACGTGATGGAATCTGTTAGGGTTCAAGAAGTGTGCAATCCCTCTTTTTATAGAGGTTCTTGGGCTAAACTAGGGATCTCTTATGAGGTATAGGGTTTGGGCTTCCTACGGGCCCAAAGTCTTATGTTCAGCCCAAAACACAATTTGTCCCGTAAATATTATATCATTCCACTAGAGATTTAATATTGCACTCTCGTCCTATCCCGGAATGAATCAGGGCTTCTATTAGACTAGATATAATTCTCCGTGTTTAAGATATCGCACGTCCATTATTTATTAAAACTTTTGACTGCTTCAATTAATTAATATCTTTTATTCCTTAAGTAGTACCACCCAATATTATTATCGTTGGTCACAACAGATGTTTAAAGGATGGTCCAAAAATAGTAGGGCTTTCGCCACATAGAAATACACTTGTGGAGTTGGAGGGGAATTACTAAACCCATCCGCCATCTAAATATCAATTGATTTCTTGTTTATATATGAGATGAGATTTCTTTAAATATAGCTTTTTCCTTTAAAAAATAACTTTTATTTAACATAAATTAATCCCGATCTATGGTATTATATATTTATTTTTTATTGTCATTTTTTTCTGTAAAAATTGAATCTTGTATAATAATGAGAAAGTCGTGCATTAAATATGAAATGGTTGATCCAATGAAAATTGTTTGCAATTTCCATTAGAACAGTCATTCATTTCTAAAAAATATATCAACCAAGTGATTAAAAATGAGAATGATTATTCCTTCTCATGTCATTCCATCATACAAATCATATCATTAATGTATTATGAAATTTATTTGTTATCAAAATTGAGCATCTAAATACTCACGGTATCAATCAGATGAAAAAAAAATATAGCGTATGAAACCCCTATATAAAACACATTAAAATCATTGGTTTATGTCATATTAATCCAAATATTTTGTATATTATAAGATGATTTGTAGTTTTATTTATTTATTTTATTTTTCAATTTGAAAAATTTAAGGCCTTGTTTGGCAATCAGCGGTTAGTTGTTAGATGTTAGCGGGTTGCATTAGCTGTTTTGACTAGCGGATGGTGTTAGCTGTTTTGACCAGCTGATTGTTTTAGCGGTTTTCAAAAGAGTGTTTGGTAAATTAGCTATTTTTAATCAGCTGTTAAAATTTAAAATTACTTATATGGACATCTATTCTTTTATATTCTTGTTTATTTAAAATTATAATTATATAGAAAATAACTATTACTTATATTTAAAATATTTGTAAAACAACTTAAAATAACATAACACAAATAAGAAATAAAAATATATAATTGTGAAGTGAAAAAAGTGATGAAAATTCTAATTTGACATGATAAAAAATATTCAAATAAAAAAATAAAATAAAAAACATAAATTGTAAAAATTCGCATATCAATTATCAGCCTTTAATCTTACTCTTCCTATATAAATTTGCACATAATTAATCGCTCCATCTTTCTTTTTTATTTTTATTTTTACAAAACACCTAATTCACTTAATTTCAAATGTCAATCGAGTATTTAAAAAAATTTGAGTTAATTTATAATCTCAATTTTATTTTTAACCCAATATATTCATGTAATAAAATATAAATCTATTTTCTAAGCTAACTTCGATTTGTAACCCAAATATGCTAGTGTGTTAAAATAATATGAGGTAGAGTTAATGTAGTAGAGTTAATTAATGGCAAATATGTCATTTTATATTTTTACCTCAAAAAGCTATTTGAAAAAGCTTCAATTTGTAGCTTTTTGAAAAACAACTTTTAGATCAAAAAAGCTATTTCAAAAAGTTATTAACCAAACACTTTAAAATTAAAGGTTTCAAAAGTCAAACAGCTATTTGATTCAAAAAGCTAATTTGTGGCTAAAAAGCCATTTAACAAACATGGCCTAAGTATTATTTATAAATCTAATTTTTAAAATTGATAAAAGTTAATATATAGTTAACATATATATAAGAAACGTATTTGTAATAAACAGTGGACATCTGAATATTGGGCAAGAATATTTGCACGACAAAACAGACAATTCGAAATCGTAATGGCCAACTTTCCATCGCCAATCTTCTGCCTGCCACCGCCGTCGTCTCCACCTTGGTCCGGCGAAGCTGCTGAAGCAGAGGACATTGTAGACGGCAAAAAGCTTTGTGCCCAAAACAGTCTCCTAATTTCCCTTCCCGATGATCTGCTCTTGAAGATCCTGTCGAACCTCTTGGCTCAAGACATTTATTACAGGGCAAGTCGTGTCTGCCGGAGGTTGTACTACCACACGATCCGATAAGAGGAATTCGTAAACCTCCACCTCCGGCAGCAAACTGAGGATTACGCCTCTTGTTCCGATTCATACGTGACCCAACACGTGGCTTTGTTAATAATGATCAGTATCCCTCCCCACACGTGGCTTTCGTGTCTATGAAACAGGGACGCTTCACAGTATCCAATCACTACTATGCTTACAAATCCAGATTCTGGAGTTCCTGCAACGGCCTCATCCTAGAGTACAATTTTCCCGTTCCCTCGTCTGGCGTCCTCGTCGTCAATCCCGTTACGGGAGGAGCCTTCCGACTCCCTCCGCTCCCCGAAAACGAAAAGTTTATGCAGTGTTGCATGGGGTACGCTGAGGCCTCCAAGGCTTACAAGGTGGCCTTGTCATACTGTGATGCTGCGGGAAGGGGCGCGAGGTGGGCCGTATTGACAGTGGGTGTCGATAGTTGGTGGAGGAATCTTGCAACCAACCAATATTCAATGGAGGCTGCAGTTAGACGACCGTTGGTGACAGAGGGTTTTATTTATTTCTTTTTCCAGAACACTGTCCTGACACTGAATTTGGAGACCGAGGTTATGATGGAGATGAGGGCACCAGAGCATCCCAAGCGCATGAAGCAGTACCTGTCAACTGGGAAGTCCCTCACTCTAGCGATTCAAGTTGAGGAGTATGTGTTTCAAGTTTGGGAGATGGTGTGTGGGGATTGTTATTATTATTATTATTGGAGGAAATGGGAATGTCAGATTGCATTGGGAACTGAAATCTAATCTTTGTTTTGTATTCAACCAGTCGGTTGGTTGCAGCAGATGGAGGTGTTGGTGTTTACAGGTACGTCCGGAAACGAGCCTTGCAATGTTTTCTACATTGTTATTGCAACTAGAGAAATCGGATGGATCACACCCATATCAAAAGGGTTGGTTGGGGGAGATTATACAATTGGTTGTTTGCCTCACAAAAACACCCTTGTGCAGTTGGAGGGGCATTAATACAATGGTGTTTGATTAGTTAATTGACATGCTTGGACAATGGTGTCGATTAGTTATAGTCTTTCTTCCTCTTTAAGATTTCCTTTTACATTTCCTGTTCTTTCAGCCTTTTAATCAATAATAATAATAGTCGGTGCAGACTGCAGAAGCCTTAATTCATCGACAAATACAAGCCATATATTCTTCTTTGTTTTCATTGAATCCATGTTAAAATCCACCCGAAAAACATTAAAAACACCACATAACTACAAGGCCATCGGCTCAATGGCCCCGTTGTTGTCGCAAAGATACGTCAACAATTCAATCTATGAATAAATGTATATTATATATAATTATATAAAAAAAATAAGAGTTTTTATAATATATATGAATAAATTATTTTTAAAAATAATTTTATTTAATATTATTTGATATTGATCTATGGTATATATTATATATTTATTTTTTATCAACATCAACTCCATTCTCTTGTGACGATGATAAATATACAAAAGTGAGGTTCAAGCTATCAAATAGTAGTAACACATAGGGCAATACGCTCTCCGAATATAAATTGAGTCAACATGATTTTCATACTCTATTTTTTGTTGTTACTACAATGAAACTCACATCATGTCTGTAGGTGCGGTAGAGTTTCAATGTCTGCCCTGGAGAACGACCGAGATTGAGGTCGCAGGTTTTGAGGTCGACACTAAATTTATTCCAACACGAAAGAACTCAAATCTTAATGAATAATTCCAAGAACAAGCTTGAACACGAATTTCACCTTGAATAATGAACGAACACGAAGAATGTTCGAACATAAACGAACACGAGCTCAAAACGCTTGGTTGGATTGGGTTGCACACTCATCCACCCAATGCATTGAATCCAAAATAAATAAATAAATAAATAGGTACAATGGACCAAATTAATGAAAGCATAACTTTGACATACTATTTAAGAGAGTGGAGAACACGAACATACAAAAGGTCACCTAAATTATATCTTCTCTAAAAATTCCAGTTTGTAAGCTCCCATTAGGCCATATGGACATCTCTACAAACTGGGAAACATCTAGAAACTTCTATCTGCAAAGACATATACACAACGACCCATAAAAACTTCCAAGTTTTTTTTTATCCATTTTAACCTATTTCATTTTTTGTCACCAGAGGCAAAATGTACAACAAAATCATCTCATTCATTCACTAATCAAGATTTGCAGAACTCTTTCACCACCGATTCACTTATTTTTTTTTACGGCAAGAATGGATGGTTCAAATTGTCCCGTTCGTAAAAAAAACACAAACGAAGTAAAGTTCACTGCTTGCAATGATCTGGAATTAGCCGTTTTAGAAGTTCCGAAGATGCACCAGCTAGTTCTGGAAGAAGTAAAGAGCAGATAGCACTACAAAAAAACCTCTTACAATCCAACGGAAATTTTCCGTTAGAATTCTTTATATATTCCAACGGATATTCCTACGTATAAAAATTCGTAGGAAAAACGGCCGTTGGAATAACTAAAATCCAACGAAAAATCCTATGGAAATAAATTCCTACATCTATTCAAACGGAAAAAATTCGTTGGAATTCCTCAACCATCCAACACTTTTCCAACATAAAATTAAGTTTGTTGGAATATTCATTGGAATTTCCAATGGAAATTTTTGCCGTTGGAATTTTTCGTTGGAATTGAAGTGTTTTCTTATAGTGTAGTTGAATGGAAATTCGAGTCACAAATGATATGATTCGAATTCGAGCAAGACAGTGACAAAATTTAACTGACCTTCGGCTGATCAACACTGCTTTCACCAGGAAATAGAGGCTGCATGTGTCAAATAATATGTGTCAGAGCTCCATTTTCACAGAAAAAAATGGAAAAGTAGAAATAAAAAATGGAGAAGATGTATAAACAAGGTAATTTAGCAACTGATTCTCCTGTTTCAAGGCATTTAGCCTGCAAAATCGGACAATTTCAGTGTTTACAAAAAAATCATCATCACCAACATCAACATACCTAGTATATTCCCAAACGGGTTGGGGTATTGGGGCTCAGTTGTACGCAGACCTTACCCTTGTAATTATACAAGGAGGCTGTTTCCATAGCGACTCAAGATGCATTGCGTCATTTGATATATTTTTCTAGAAACTTCACTAATAGAAGAAGTACTAGAATTTGAATTGAGTCATTTTGATCTAGTTCATTATTAGCACTATGCCGGGAGAATTGTCAACAATGACTCTTCCAGCTCCATGTGCAATAGACATCAGTGTTTACAAAAAATATACTTAAAAATAGATAACATTATATGATGATATGACCCGTCAACAGTCTGAGCCACGGGTGACGGGTGGCCCTTAATCGGCCCGCCAAAAACCAAGGGTCAGCCCGTCGAACCGGCCCTACCCGAATTGTCGGGACAAACAAAAAAGGAGACCCGAAAACGGCCCGTATTTTACGGTGCCGATTCTCGAAATCGACAACTTACAGGCCGGTTGCAGGCCGGCCCGTGGCCATGTCATTATGATGGCTATCACGGAAGTATCAAATATAACTATCAATTGTGAATAACAAATACAAATTTAATTTGTTAAGCACCTATTCGATTTCGTCTAAATTCATCATGCGAAATAAAACAACTGTAAAACTACTGCAAATTTGACAAAATTACTCCAACAGTCCTAAACCAACCAAGCAGCGTGTGTTTGAATTTCAGTGGGCAAATCCGAAACTTTAGCCGGTGAATTGAAAAGGGCATCCACCATAGCTATCAAACAAAGCAAACCATCAAGAGAGCAGAAATTACCCACGTTTCAGAAGCACACCAACTTCTCGCACTAATACCCTCAGTTCGCCGGAAGATCACGCGAGCTCCCACGAATTTTCAGTCGCTTTGAACCCACCGGCACGTGGAAGCCCACACTAGCGGCAAGACTCTTCTGCTGTTTTTTTTTTTTTTTTTTTTTTTT